TGCTTCCTGCTCCACCACAGATATATCTCCAGGGCCAGCAGCTACAGAAAAATATGCCACAAGGAAAGGCTGCCTGCTGCATTCTCAAATTTGTGCTCATCTCAGGAACTAGTGCTTTTATTAACTCCTTCTAGGGAAAGATATAGATAATTTCCTCCTAAAAAAGTCACCAGTGAGGTCAACAGTGTGAGGAATGGGGAAGTGAAAGGCAATCTCTGTAGTGAGTGAACAGTTAGCAACAATAGTAGCTTATATTTATTGTGCCTTATAATTTCAAAGCACTTATAAATGTATTATATCTTTTCAGATTTTATTATAAGTGTAGATGGCTTTGCAAAAATGTTAACATTATTACATTAGTTGCAAAATATGACTTGTGCTTAAAATCTGTTTGTAACAAAAATTTAATAGGAATCATTCGAGAGTATATCAGTTAACACTTAATTAGCCAGAAAACATTGGTAATTAAATTATTTAACTTTGTTTAAGAGTATTTCTAAATGCACTTTCCAATTCTCCGTTTTTAAAAGTAAAACTGAATCTTTGGTAGATGATTCAGTATCTTGGACTGTCTGAGCATCATTTCAAACAATGTTTTCCATTTTACACAACTATAGATGTAGAAGTGTAAGATATTCTTCCAACTGCTTAGTCATCAAATTGTTTTATGGCTATATAATTCTGTCTTCTGAAATTATGTCATCAATTTTCCAGCTAATGGAATATTCCTACTAGAAGAGGTTCTCTTACAACTGTATTTTAGTCAACATGAAAAAAGTGGTTATTATCTTTAGCCTGTCTTCCTTTCCATTCTTTCATTTTTCTTATCTGTTTAGATGATGGATGTGTTACACTTTGAATTACCTGGGATGTAGAATGATTAAGAAGAAAAGGTGTGTGACAATTAAAATAACGATGCGGAATGTGTGGAGTAGCTGGAAGAAAGTGAGGCATTATTTGAACAAAGTTGTTTTGGCAGTTCCAGTAGAAAAGATTTTGTTGATGTTTCTTACTGTATCAATGCAATTCTGAACAAGGACTAAGGGAAGAAATGATAGTGTTGGAAAATATCCTGCTTACATGGAAGAGAACTGAACTGAGAGTCAGTCCAATGTCACAAATGGCAAGAGCCATCCAGAACTTGTTCCAGGGGTCATATGTGTTTTGCCTGTGTGTCTGAACTGTGGTCTTTTTCTGTTCGCATGTCATTCTTATTTCTTCTTTTCCCACCAAGCACTCTTGCCTTCTCTCATCCACAGCCCTGCCAGCCATCCCTCGGGCCCTCTGGAGCTCACACACACACAACATTCCCCCACACCCTCACACACACTGTGAGTCACATGTGAGTTCGGATTCAGAGTTGAGTATTATCCTGGGGTGAGGCCTCTGCGAGCTGACGTCCAGGCTTCTTCATGAGGTCTGGTTCAGATCATGGGAAGAAAATGCTTCCATAATGTATGTCATGGACATTCTCGGAACTAATAATAAAAGTGGCTATAAGGAATATGATGTAGGAAAGGAATGTGGGTTTTGAAGTCATCAGAGCTGGGAGTGACTTCCAGGTTCACTGTGCGCTGGCTCTGTGACTCTGGGCACTTTTCTGTGCCTCAGTTTTCTCCTTGTAAAAACAAGAATATCAGTGATGCTCTCAGAGGGCTTTCGGGATAATTCCATAATGTCACTTAGTCAATGGTAAACAGCTAGCAGAAAGAAGGTATAGACAATGTTTTTGTTTTGTTTCTCTTTTTCTAATAAATCTAGAAATACAATAAAAGCGAATATATATAAAGTTTGTGAAATAAAGTACTGTTTGCAAGGGTAAAACATTATTTGATACGACCACCAGTATCATTTAATCTTATTCTTTCAAAGGGAGATGGATTTATACTGCCTTCCAGACAACTCAATTTTTTTCAGATGCCCCCATGTCCCTGCCCTGGCCACCTCCATCCAGCCTCCACCCCCTTCCCTCTGGCCATCTCCACACTGTCACCTGTGTTCATGGGTTATGGATTTGTGTTCCTTGGTTGATCCCTTCACAATTCTATTTGTATTATAAGAAGTAATTCCCTATTTGTACCTAATTAGCTTTAGAAAGAAGCTCCACATCCCCAATTTGCACATAAATAGTAGCAGTTAAATTGAGAAATAGTCTATTCAGTTCCTCTGCTATTGAAATATGTCCACAGGAAAGACTGAGTGTCTATTTATACCCATTTATAAAAATGCATAGTTTAAAAAGGTAATTTCTTACTTTTAAGAAGATCCTACACAAAACTGACATTTACATTTTAATTACCATTATTCCTTTCATTTCCATTATTTTCATATATATGCTTACTCCGTAGAATTATTATATGTACATACCTACAGGATATTATTGCATATTCTAATCAATAAACAAAATTGATTTCTATGGGTTACTTATGGAATGAACAATCACTTTCCATCAATATTTATTTATGTATATATTATTATAATAAGTGATTAAACTTTTAATTCTCATAATAATCTTGCAAGAGAGGTGTTTCCACATTGTTTTCGCAGATGACCAACAGAGGCTCTGAGGGACCACACGACTCACCTAAGGTCACGCACGTGAGAGCCAGTCACATAACAGAACTAGGATGTCAACTCGGGCTAATTTTGGCTGTGGTAAATTTCTTGTTTCTTTTCTGTCTCCCTTTGTGGAAATCTGCCTCAATTCCTGTTGTTTGCCATATTTATGTATTTCTTCTTTTTGTCTCAACGCTATTGATATCAATATTTTAAAACCAGTAGTGTAGATTACTTTCAATTCAATAACATCAGAGCAGTGGAGTTTAATCTATATGCTCCTAAAAGCCTACACATTTCCACATTTGGGAAAAGCAAGGCTGGGGACTCCTGAAGGACACTCTTACTAATGAGGACACATTGGGGCATCACCCGAATAGTGAGAGTATCAGCTCCTCCCCTAACTGGGATGGTGGTGATCATCTCCAGCCCACCTTTTTTATGTTGCACTTAAAAGAAACTTATCTAAGAAAAAGAAGATAAAAAATATGAACAGTGAAAGGACAGCAAACTCACAGTTATTAAAACCACACCAAAAACAAAAGCCGACTAAGAGGACAGCTAGATTAGGAGTGGAACCATATAAATGGAGATCACATGGAAGGTCAGCAACAGGGAAGTGGGAGGAGAAGCAGGGAGAAGGTACAGAGAATAAGTAGCATAGATGGTCGGTAGAAAATAGGGGGGGCAAGCATAGTATGGTAAATGTAGAAGTTAAAGAACCTATGACAAACGGGCATGAACTAAAGGGGGGAATGGAGGGGGAGGGGGTGTGCAGGATGGAGGGGAATGAAGGGGGGGAAATGGGACAACTATAATGGCACAATCAATAAAACATATGTTTAAAAGAGAAAATAAATGGGGACCCAGAGAAGTTAGTGATCTGACAGTAAATAACACCTGGGACTGGAGCCCAAACACGCTGGCAGAACAGACACCTCCCCCCAGGTATAAAGTAGAACATGGAGGCCAGCTCCAGAATATGGATTGGACATAGACAGATTGATGTTCCTGTGTTATCTTGATCTTTTTTGTACCAAAATTGACAAGCCATCTCTTACCATTATCAGTTTGCCAGATCTTAGAGACAGAATCAGAGCAGAAAGTTAATGGCTTCTGTGATGAGAAGCTGATTGTGAGTTTTTGCTCAAAGTTGAGTAGGCTGCTGATATGAAGATTATAACGATTCCATGTGCCTAAAGATCTACTACAGGTAGATTGAGAACTGGAGTTAAAATTGATGCTACCAATTTTTGCATTTATACCTCACCCAATTTGTAAATATCAATGTTGGTTTTCATTTTTTCCTTTGCAATAATTCTACTTTTGTTTACTGCATCAAGGACTTAGACGGTCTGCCATCATCTGGATGACCACGGGGTAAAAGTCTTGAGTCAAAACGCATGAGAAGACATGATAGTCATGTGCCACAAGTGTTGTGTCCTGGTTTATGTAACCCTTTCCCAGTACTGTGTGTGTAGGCACAGACCTTCCCAGTAATTACTTATTGAAATAATGGAGACAATGATAAATATGAAAAAATACACATAGAATAATTTGGCCACTTATGCTTGACTAGGTAAGACTGAAGACAAAGATGATGTTTGAAACCAAGAAAAAAGTTCTGAAACATGGGAATATTCTCTTTTATACCTGATGTTGTTCTGTAGAAAAAGTTCTGGTTATCCTTGGTAACATACATTGCAGTTGAAGATAGAATTGTTTTTATACATTGGAAATATATCTACTTAGTTGGAACGCTTTTCTCATGTGCCTAAGAAAACACCAGAGTAAGAAACAAGAATACATTATTCAAAAATTGTGTGTTTTGGAAGGCCCCCTGGCTGGTGTAGCTCAGTGGATTGAGCGCGGGCCTGCGAACCACACGATCGAGGTTCGATTCCCAGTCAGGGCATATGCTTGGGTTGCAAGGCCAGTTCCCAGCAGGGGACTCACGAGAGACAACCATACATTGATATTTCTCTCCTTCTCTCCTTCCCTTCCCCACTAAGGATAAATAAATAAAATCTATAAAAATTTTAAAAAAATTTTGTGTTTTGTAAGAGCAAAAGATAAGTGGGAAATGAAGTAAGCCAATCAGTCCACATGAATAGTGCAGTTAGTTGGTGGAGAAAGAGTGACCAGCAGAACTGAGCCAGCAGCCCAATTCACTGCAAATTCTTCAGAAAGCAGTGATGTTTAAAGGGCGAGGGGGCACGGTGCACACAGCAGCCACACAGCATCCCTCCCACTACAACAGGAAGCTCGAGTTGGGTCATAAGATTATGTGCACAGCCCTGGGCTGGCTGCATCCTCTGGGAAACACTGGTGAGGGTTCAGCCAGCGTGACTTCAGTCCCCAAAAGAGGTCCACAGCCTGAGAAAATGTGGAGAAGAAAAGGCCAAATGTTCAAGGTGCATCTACATACAAACAAGGTGCTCATTTCTAAGCAATGAGGGGGGTCAGTGAAATAATTTAGGGAGGCCTATACATCTATAAGAAGAATTTTGTTGATTAAGATAATAAAATAGGTTGACTAAATATCTCCTGATATCCTTTAAATAAATCTCCATTGGTTCACATCCCAAGGAAGATTTAAACAGAAAACGTTAAGAAATGTAGTTCGTTCTGAATGACATAAGATACAGAGTTCTCTCCCAATTCATGAGTCTCTAAGAGTAACAATTTTCCAATAAAACAAAATAAACCAAACTTTTAAAACTATCAACAAATATATTTATTGTGGTGGCTTTCCCCCCTACTAGGTACACCTCGTTAGAAAGTAGTATCCCTCTTAGTTCCAGGTGGACCATTAAAAGCAGGTATAAAACGGTTTCTCCCTTGTAGAGAAAGAAAACACATGACTTTGCAAACCTGTTATATTCTCCTTGCTCTAGTTTCTGTTTTCTATGAACTCACAATTTCCTTCTAATAAGTATGGTTTTGCTTTTGGAAGCAAGTTACAGGTACGTGTTACAGACTTATATAACCCAAGGGGCAGCAGAGGCTGAACCACACGGCGCCGACAGACTGGAGACCTGTTGCAGGTGATCACACCCTTTCACAGTTTTGTAAAGCACACAAGTCATCTCCAGCTCTATGGCTTCTTCCACACTTTGCCTTCCTTCAATCCCATACAGTATATTTAACCCTATGTGCACTCTCATGCTTCTTGCAAGATGGGATGAGGGCAATAGGACCAATCTTACAACAGTTATTTCTGTGGTGAGAATTCCTGATTCCAAATGCCAGGCCCTAACATCTGAGCACTCTCCAGATCTCCAGGACCAAACAGCACTGTCCTTTGGAAGATGTTTCCCCTGATCTCTTGTTTGTTTTGAAGGGATACGGTATCTTTGAATTTGCAGGGCTATCTTTCGCTTCTTAAAACAATAAGCTTGAAAAAATATTGTTTTAATAGGGAAAAGATGTTGATTCTCCAGATGACATCATTAGGTTGTTACAACTTATAGCCTATTGGTAATTATGTACAAAATTTCTTGTCTCTTAAAAAATGCACAGAAGCATGTAAGATAACCATATGAAAGCATCCCTTCTTTGAACTTTGGGCTCTGTGTTGTTAACTATGCTTGTATGAAGGTATAGCAACTATTTGGAATGTTGTTTAGACTGAGCAGTAACTGACACGTTGTCCGTTTGTGGTCCTAATGGCGAGAGCACCTGTCCTGGGCATCTGGTTGAGATAGCAGCATCACGAGTCTACGACAACCTCATGGGACCCTCTAATGTACAGTGCTGACGGATACCGATATCTGTTGTTTATCCTGGACCTTTCGCTTCTTCTGCTGCTGTTTATTTTCTCGTTGTTCTGGGGTTTCTCTGCTTGGTTCCAGACCTTTGTTATCAGGTACTGCATCCTTATTTTCTTCTTTATTAAGTTTTTTTCTTTTCCTCTCCCTTCCTTTTTTTCCTGAAATAAAAGATAGGCTTTTAAAAATGCATTCAATTACATTTGATTTGGTTATCTTAAATTTTTAAAAAATGGGTTACATTTTTCTTAGTTTACATACTATACCCATAGATACCAAATATTTACTGTTTAAGTCATTCACTCATTTACTCTTAAGTCCATATGATATTTCTTAAGTTCATATGATATCTTAAGTTACTCTTAAGTTACTTTAAGTCCATATGATATTTCAATCAATAGAAACATGAAACATACAAAATATGATGAAGCAATGAATAGGTAATAGTTCCAAAACTCCAGAGGCTTTTATTGATACGTTTGGTAATATTTAACATGATGGATACTTAGGGATATTTAATAGAAAGTTTCAAATAGATTTCTTGCCACATAAGAAATTTATTAATGAGGATGTGTTTTCTGGCTCTTATTAAGGCACTATTTTGTGTTCAGAAGTTTCTCAGGCCCTGGCTGGTGTAGCTCAGTGGATTGAGCACGGGCCTGTGAACCAGACAATCGCAGTTCGATTCCCAGTCAGGGCATATGCCTGGGTTGCAGACCAGTTCCCTGCAGGCCAATTCCCAGCAGGGGATACATGAAAGGCAACCATACATTGATGTTTCTCTCCCTCTCTCCTTCCCTTCCTCTCTAAAGATAAATAAATAAAAAAATCTTTAAAAAAAAAGAAGTTTCTCAGTAGCAATTACATATCTGCAACCTGCCAATATATCTGCATGCCATCTACTATTTAGAACAAAACTTATTTGCATAAAATATGCAAATAATGGCTCATGAGAAATACCAGGACAATTGTCTGCTTTCACAGACAACTCTGACTGACAATTTTAACATACACATTTGCATGTTGGTATTAATTTCCATGGCCACTTCTTTGTGTGCAGGAGCTGTGGTGACTGTACCATCAATAACTGCATAGCAGAAGCTACAAGAGCAGGAATTTTGTGTCTCCATCAATCGAATGAGCAGATAGTTATTGTGTCTGTATTGGATTCCATGGGAGCCTCTGACTTTAAACTGGGCTTCAGGCATTGAGTTGCACTAAGTCAGATTTGCACTGTGAGGCATTTTATGAAGTGGCTTCAACAGGAGTTTAAAGGTTTAGATGTGGAAAGGCACATTGCTAGATAGACTGGAGCCAGGGTGAAGAACCGAATTCCATTCTACTGGCACTGGAGAATGGCTGAGAATTTTAACCAAAAGTAATATGACCAAAGTGTATGAGCCTGGAATGGATTTTTTTAAAATTTATCTCTAAATAGTGAATTAATTGGATGTTTTACTATCATGTAAACATTTGTCATATACAGTCAAACACTGTAAAGTAATTTCAGAGAGCATGAGTTTAGTAACATCCATTAATAGCCATATCTCAATGAGAAACTACTAATTATTTCAATATCTTAGTAAATGAAAACCAGGAACCAACTATTCCTTGATATGAAACAAATTCTGATAATTCCTATCCCCACCTACTAAGCCATGCAAAATCTGATATTAGTCTTTGTCTACAAAATGTTATTTTGGACAAAGGTATTTTGGGGAAATGATTTGCATGAGAGAACCAAAATATTTTCATGTCCTGAAATAGTCTGCAAATATTGAATTCAGTGGTTTGGCTTTCCTTTGCCTGAGCTCTGGTTTCAGAATCCCAAGGAGCAATATTATTAATAGTGTATCCATGGCCCCGGCCAATCCAGCCTTCTTGGATTGATGATATTTTGCCACAACCAGCTTTGTCTGAGACTCTATTTACAGAAGCTTCTAGTTACTTTATGAAAACCTGCCTTGTTGGGCTCAACATAACACACCTCCAAATTCTGGACTGTAAAAGGATAGTTAACCAATAATGAGAATTCTGACCACTGTAAAACAAATATCAAATTGTTCTGTACATGTAGACATGAACAAAATATATTGAAGTTGATTACTAGGCCTAGGGCCGAACTATTTGTACACTGAATCCCCAATTCCACTTTTCTTTTCACTTAAAAGAATGCTGCTGGAATGATAAGATTCCTAGGGAAGAAATCCATGTTTTGTTTTGTCTTGTTTTCCCCCGACATTGGCTTTCATTACTATACAAGTGTTGACTTGCACTTGGTAGCTGAACAGAGAAAACTGAAGAGTAAATTTACCTTACTGAATATATAGTATATTTTAATTTTCATAAAGCTTCACAAACTAAAAGGGAGAAATTCTGGTTTTCATGGTATGGGTTCGGTTTTCAGAAGGACCTGGCTAAGAGGTTAGGTCACATAATATTTCTATTTTAAAAAGCATTCTGGAGTAGTTTAAGCTCAACTCCAAAAAAATTGTCAGTGAAAATCATTCCAAAGTTTCATAGGAACTACTGACCCCAAACAAAATGTAACTTTTATGGAAATGATCCAAAAGTTCAGTGTTCAACATTGTTCTCTTGATGATGGTCCAGCACCTTTCAGCTGTGACGAGGACCAAAATGTTTTGAACACATAAGAAATACATTGTTTTTTTCCAGACCACAGGTTGATTAATATGTTTTTTAGCCACATGTGACAACATACTCAGCTCACAGTGCATTTCTGCTTATTAGCAAACTGATAGGATTATTTCTTAAGACAGGCAGAAACATTTTTGAAAGTAGCATGAAACTCAGTATTGTACTTTTATTACCCAAGGAACAGCTATTTAAGCGCAGGCGGTGAGTGAAAGGGGAGGGTTCTAGCAAAGAAACAGAAAACTAGCACGTTGTATATCCTTGTTGCCCAACGGAGGGCTGTTACACAACAGAAAAAGGGGATTATTATTTTTTACAGGCCATGTGTTCGTGGTTGGAAACACTAACTACCCCTTTGCATAAATAATATATTTTCCTCTTGTCCGACAAATAAAATAGAAATGCCTAAGAGTAGCTGTACTCCATTAAAAATCATGTGCCATTTGGGGAATTCTGCAAGGTTTTCATTAGCGGGGACTTCTTTTTGCTATGCTGATGACTTCTCATTGATGTGGTCAATAGTTATTTTAATACTTCTTTTTGTAATTTTGCAAACCAATCAGCCCAGTTATCGCAATCTCACATAGTTGTTTATGTGTGGGCCTTCACTGATTATGTGCCTTTGCACGGGCACATGTGCCCCGGAATTGGGCCTTGGACCATGCTTCTGATGAAAAGAAAGTTCATTTTCTCTTCGAGTTCCAGCTGGGAGGATGGTGTTTGGGTAAAGAGACATTGCCTTGGGCAATCGAGTACAACCCGAGCTTCTGCAGGGAAGCACTACAGTGGGGTGTTTAAGACCACTGCCTTGGAGTCAGAGTCACATGGTGTTCCAATTCCAGGTCTGCCATTACCTGTTGTGTGACTTCGGCACATTGTTGCTATCTTTAAGAATTAATTGTCTGCTAGGATTATATCCCAAGAATCCTAAAACATCAATTTCAAAGAACCTATGCACCGCAATGTTCATAGCAGCACAATTTACAATAGCCAAGAGCTGGAAGCAACCTAGGTGCCCAACAGTAAAGGAATGGATCCAAAAACTGTGGTACATTTACACAATGGAATTCTATGCAGCAGAGAGAAAGAAGGAGCTACTACCCTTTGCAACAACATGGATGGAACTGGAAAGCATTATGCTGAGTGAAATAGGCCAGGCATTGAAGGACAAATACCATATGATCTCACCATTAACAGGAAGTTAAACAAACAAAACAAACAAGCAAACAGAATAAAAATAAAGACACTGAAATAGAGAACAAGTGGGCAGCGACCAGAGGGGAGAGGGAAGGGAATTTAAGGGGAAAAAGGGAGGGATTTTGAGGAACAAGTATGAAAGACACAGGGATGAGGACGGGGGGGGGATGGGAGGGAGGTGGGGAGACAGGGCGGCGGGGCTGGGATGGGAGAAATTGACAAAAAAAAACTGTACTTGAAAAATAACTAAATAAATTTTTTAAAAAATGAAAAAAAAAAGAATTAATTGTCTGATGCTTAAAGTGTGGATAATGGTTGCTACTTGTCAGACCTGGTAAGCATTACACGAGGTGCTTGTAAAGCACTCAGCATAGTGCCTGGCACACATTAATCATGGGGGAAATGAAAGATAATGTTATTAACTCATTACACAAACATGAATTAAGCCTTGACTCCATGCCCCAAATTGTCCCAAAACCTGAGTGAGATGTGGAGACAGACACAGTTATTACAGTCACAAGCTAATACTCAAATAGATCCTACTGGGAGCACAGAAAGGAGGACATTGAACTCTGCCAGTGGAGACTGAGACGCACTGCCCATGACGGGGTGACCTTGGAGGTGAGCCTCACAGAATGAATGAGAGGTCACCAGGCTGAGGGGGAAGAAGGGTATGTGGGGCAGCGAACAATACTTCAATGGCATGAAGGCATGCAAGGACATGGTAAAACTGGGGAACTGAAAGTAGTCTTCCTCGGTTTGATCAGGGTCTGTATACAGGCTATTACGCGAAAATCTGGAAGGATGCGCAGAGTGTGATTACTATATTGGGAGTTTGTCCGGAGGACCAGTGGTGCTGAAAACCAGACAAGAGCTCATACCAGAATCTGAGAGCAGGAGAGAGTTTGAGTGTTTCTGTGACTAGCTGGGAAAGGCCAGTAAGATGTTTTGACATATCGCCTTACTTCCTATTTCAGAAACCACCTCTGTAAGTAATACGAACCCATAGAGGGGGCATAGACAGTGACTGACATTTACTTCTGAACAGCAACTTTTACGAGTAGCTAACATCTCTGTTTAGAGCCACATATTATTCAAAATTTTTGTTACAAAACAGTATTACATAATTGAACAGGCAACTGACACTTTTGGGATTCTGAAATTATTTTCCATTAATACAAAAATAGAATCAGCCCTGGCCGATGGGAAGTAGGTCTTGGGTTTGATTCCTGGTCAGGGCACCCACGGGAAGTGCTTCTGACCCATCGATGCTTCTCTCTCATATTAATTTTTCTTCTTTTTCTTCCTT